AATGAGATGCAGTATGTAATGAGCGGCGTGGCCAGCGCGGTGGACTCGGATGGAAGGCGCCTGACGCGTAGCTCTGGCTTCTGATTGATCAATACAGCCTGTTCTGTTGTCCCAGTCTTCTTCCTATTAGGGCTCGGGTATTCTACATTGGTGGCAACGGATGCGTTCGAATAACACGAATCGGACCCCATTCCTTTCTCTTCAATGGACAACAGAGGCAAAGACCCTTAAATGCCAGCTGAATTTGTCTCCACTCTTTTGTCCGATGTCCAAAAAAGTGGATCCATTGACATTGCCCGGGATTAGGAATTCTGCATCTGAAGAGGCATTGGAGACTCAGCGACGAGGACATGGACATTAGAAGCCAGCTGGACAGCAACTGCGAATGAACCTACGATAGATGAAGCGTCCTTCCTTCATGTCTACAAGATCAACGTCCCTCGCCAACTTTTCGCTTGGGCCACTATCCTGCGAAATGTAGGGTATCGGGGAGTGTCGAACTGGATATTTTAACAATCATGAGCAGTGCGAAGAACCAAACCGGTAGCTGAGGACAGCTTTAGTACTGAGGCGTTGGCACTGTGGTGACGGATTATGGCGCAGACATCTTGTAATGAGTAAAAATATTTGCGGACTTAAGCAATTTAGCCGTAAATTATTCTTCCATCCGCCATCACGCGAGAAAAAGTTTATGCAAAAAGGTTGGATCAAAATCTCAAAATTAATAGCTTTTAGTGTTTTTATGTCTAGCTCACACACTTGCTTTCTGAAGTTTGCAAATAAGCTCTAGAATTTGAGTAAGTGACCAATTATTTAATTTTTTTTTAAATCCACTAAAATAAAACTGTTTTTCCTTATCAGTATAAGCAAGACGGTACTTTGACCAAAATTACTACTTCTTTATCAGTAGTAACATCAGTAAAATGCTTAAGCAAGTACAATTGTAGTAGTTTTGTGCTTTTGCAACTGTCATGCACCAAATATATAGCCTTAAGTCCTTTGGTATTAGTTAATGAAATTGTAGGGAATTGTGTTGATTCGCGTCCAATAACCCGGTCGTCGGATCCTCACACACGCTTCCCCCTTTTCACGGTGTGCCCGTCTGTCAATGGAACGGCCTGCTAATTCACACCTCTGTATGCAACACCACCACTACCACATGTACTTAAAGTAGCGTAATGGGCCTAGATTGACGCAGTGATCCCGGGGCCCTCAACAAAATACTGAATTTTGCAGCCTACAAAAAAATTAGTGACATTGTTCTCTCAGTGACCATTAGCTGCTTTCACTAACTTTAGACTGATTTTTCTAGGATAAAAGCATTAACAAAGCTGGACTCGGTGGATTTAGGAGGCCCACCATAGTATTTATTTACTGTAGAATAATAAATAATGATCTGTAAGATGATATATTTTCGGTAATGAAAGTAAATCAACGCACGATTAGCACGTTTTATAGGTATATTTCACTCATTTACGCGCATTATTTCAAAATAAAATCTGCAAAATTACACGGGTTTTCTACTTTACCATATAGCGTAAAATATATGGTAATTGCTAGACTATAAGTCGTTAGAAATTGGCATTTTAGTTTGGCACTTCAAATAAGAACATTTGTTATCTTCACCATAAAATAGCAAGTATGATGGTGCAAAATTGAAGAAACTATGTCCCTGTTCTCTTTTACACTAATCAGGTCAGCCTGTTCCCAATGAAACTCATATTAAGAACACAAGGGGTTTTAATGGTTATGCAGATTCCAAAATAATGTAGCAATTGACAAACGTCTTCCAGAATTTGCAGTTCAAGAATAATTGAAATGAATGAGTCACATAATTCAATAAAAAAATTGAATCGTAGACAGATTACGTAAACTTTTTTTCGGTTTGTTAATACGATATACTTACGCAACAATTAAGCCCATGATCGGATACGGAAGCCTTGGGTAAATATAAGACCATTTTGTGCGTTCAACAACGAATGTGCTCAATCCCAGACAATACACCTTACGGCAACAAGCAATAAATATGCCAAGAGCAGATCCATGCTGACACCGAACAAGCATGCAAATTCATTAAATCAAAGCCTATGTGTGGTGAAGTCAACGTTTGTAATGTGTGGTGTATTGCCTTGACGGTCACTAGAGCAAAAAGTAGAGTTATTCTTGAACGCAATTTATCTTAGTCACGGAGCTTTGCTTTGAATTGGTGCACAATTGTGTGGTAAAAACCTTCTTAATTATTAATCAGCGGTTCCTGATCATTTTGAAGTTTCTTGACATAGCTTTCTTTAATAAACAGTTAAATTATTGAACATTTTTTTATTTTGACTTTTTGACTTGGGTCTGATAAACTAAGCAGAAAAAAGGCCATACGACATTTTAAGAATAATTAAGTCTTCGTTTGTACGCGTGAAAATTTGCTACTGTAAGTTGGATGACCATAAAACTAGGTATGACTGACGAAATACGTGCTTGTTTTTAATTATTTGCAGCTGGGTTTTTTGATCCTGTCACAGTTATTGTCAGAATTTTTCTCCCTAAATTAAACAAACTTTTCAGTAGCAATTCTACTTCCTTCCGCCGTGTTACTTGGGACGTTGATCAATTTTCATTTCACGCATTTTCTGCCATCCAACTTTGTCTCGTGCAATTTGTCTGTGGCCAATATTATCTTCAAAGACTAAATAAAGTTGTATATAAATAATGATACATGCATAATCATTTGTATGAGCAAAATCATGTACACTGTTACATGCAGTGGGGTGTGTAAGTGCAAAGTGGACTCCAGAAAAATGAATTTTAGTTTCTTAGTTTAAAATGTAAAGGAATGCTGCAATATTTGCATGCAATCTCTGACCTCACAGTACAATTATGCTTTTAAAAAATATCAAGCAAACTTAGCTGTGTGAAACAGCATATGAAAACTGAAATACCAAAATGACCCCATTCACGAAGAGACACGACAGCACGGTACACTGGAAGAATTTTTACAAAGCAGCAGATATAATTTAGTATATGAATTTCTTAGTTTTCAACATACCTAAATCAAAAGGTTGCACGCGGGTTAGTAATACTGGTTTCAATATTTTACACATAATGATGAAGCACATTTCAAGTCCCCGTTAAAAATTCAGCAATTTCTGTTGTATATTTGCGGAAAGACAAAAGTCACACCAGAGCCATCAATCAATCTGTAATATTTAAAATGCAGAGCATTTCTTAATTACTTAATGAAGGGTGGTTAAAACACTTGAACTTGATTTTTTTTTCGTTCTGACAAAAAACAACCTGAAAACTAGTTATTCGGCTTAGAGTTTTCGGCAGTTCTGAGCATTTAATTTAGATTACACTCAATGCTTGCAATTATCCCCCTTTAATTCGTTTTCGCAAGAAACGCTTATCAAAAATTATTATTTTTAAAGTCAGTACAACTTTATTTATTAACTGTTCCAGGGATTTCTGACCCTTACATAATTTGAAGTCCATCATTTTTTGAATGCTTTAGTAGTTTACTTAGGGAACATTCAATGCTTTACTTTATACAACTTGGCAACTAAGGCAAAATGGTTGGTTCCTAACTTTTCTTATCAATAGTGAATTCAATTACGTCGTTTAACAGAGCAATCAAATGTGCCGGTCGAGTCAAAATGGTTTCGTTCGTCTAGGTATAGAATGATTGATTCCATTTTCGAGGATCAGCAACCGAAATTGGATTTTTGTGACCATTTTAATGATAACTCAACTGAAAACACTGTTGAGACAACGCTAGAATCATCGGAAGTGTGTACTGACATATGCAGCAATGAAACATATGGGGATCTTTTCCTTATGGACTCGGGCGAACTTCTTGGCCTTCGGGAAGAGGTGATCGGTAGCGACAGCTCTGAACCAAGCAGTGAAACCCATAGTGTTGAGGAATCATTATTAGGTCATGATTCTCCATTTGAAGCACAGGTGAGGTCACCCTCACCTTGTTTGTCATTAGTTTCTCGAAATAAGAAGATAAAGTATTCGTGTGAGTGTCTCCTTTCTAAAACCGAAATTTAAATGTTAGGGCCTTTTTACGTATATTTTGGGCCTTATTTTGGCTCTTCTAAGAACTTCCCATCAGGTCACATAGATTGCGTTGTTTACTTTTTAAGGGTTATTTTTTATTCCTTTTAGTCATTAACATAATGAAAACGCCTCATGTATCTGGTTGGTTACTTTTAAAAGCAACATTATAGTAATATAAATCACGTAGTTTTAATTTTTGTAGGTTGTATCTACTACCAGTCTTTCATTGATACATTTTGTAAACTAGTCTAAACGAAGCCTTATTTCTATGCAAAAATCTGGAAAAATGAACTGCATCGATAACGTTTTTGGTATTAATATTAAGCCAGGTTATTAAAATGTTACTGTATGACTTAAAATTTTATTCCTGTTTTGTGCCAATTGTTTTTGCCTGCATCATGGATACCTGGGAAACTGAGTTGTAAAATCGGCTGAACCATCCAGTTTGTCAGTTGTATTTAACCAAACCAAATTTCCTAATTGCTAGTGTTACTGTTATTGATTGCGTTATTATTACCAATGTATCTGCGATATTTACACTTTCTTCGGTAATTTCAGTTGTTATCCCCATTATTAGGGGTCAAGTAAGTCTCGCGAGTCTGGTTTCTGGGTGACTCATTTCACTCAGCATAATAGTGGTCGCTAGTATTTTCGTACTGATGGGTGGAAGAATAGGACAATTTCCGGCCCTGTTTGTGATCCCAAATGCAAAAACCGCTATAGTAAAGTCACTTGCTGTAATTGAGTTATATTCATCTGCAAAGGAAATTGTGCCGAATGCCGACTTTGTTTTAGCTGACTGCACATGCACTGAACTGTTGTTTATTGGTTTGCATCTTTCCACCTTAAATAAGCCGGTAAATTGACATTTTTTTTGGAGATCCGGTGACAATGAAAGAAATTACTAAACGCTTCAAATCGGGATGTTTGAGGATGCTTTTGTCCTAGTGATTCCGTGCACAATTTTTTTGCGCAATACTTATCACTTTGCTTACGACGAATCAGGTATGCGTTGTTGTCGATCCGAAACTGGCGTAAAGAACGCCGCTAAAAATCAAAACTTGGGTTTTTCTGTTTCAACTGGTGCCTAGGTTTACGTAGCTGCGCTTCTGCGCCACTACCTCAACATTGATTATATCACTACCACATAACCAAACCCTATCCTGTTTGTAGTGACGCTTTACTAGCTTACATGTCTCGACCTTGTTGGATTCCAGGCCGTATTGTCGAATTTTCTCGAGTGGGTCTTGTCACCACAAAAAAACCGTCATTTCGCCTTGGTTTGCCCCATTAATCCCCTGGGTTGACTGGTTCACTGAAGTACTTGCCTAACGGCGCCTCTGTAAGGGTCCAGTTCTGCCAATATTGATGTCAAACTGAGGCAACCGTGATTGCGACTACCTGTAGCTTGATGATCTGCCCTACCATTTAAATGCAGTTTTTTTGGCCTTTCAGGTGACGCAAGGAATGAGGCCTTCGAGTTTGAGGCAGAATTTAGGCGAGGGCAGGAAGGTGCTAGTCCTCGAAAAATCGAAGACGTTTCTCCCTTAGGTGCATCCTCCGAGCCGCCATCTTTGTTGTCCTACTCCGAGGAGACCTCTCTTTCTCTCCTAAATGGAGAAGCTACTGATTGGCGTCCCCACCTCAAGGTCAGTGTTGATGATCTTGTGGAAAATAATGTTACACCGGTCGCTGCTCCGTTGCCCACTTCGTCGCCGGCACCTCAACAGAAGCTCACCGTGGTCACAACAGCGGCCGCAGTCAATCGTTTGCGTATTCTGCCCATTGCAACCTATCGACTTCCTGTTCCACCGTCGAAAAAGGATGTAGTGACATGGCCCAGCAACCTAACTCTCTTCTATTCCAAACAGACTTCACTGAACACCCAAACTCAACCCCGAGGTAATGTGATCGTTTATTCAAGCATTGCACTCTATTGACGAGTAGCGTACTTGCTTTGTGGGGATCTGTCTCGCCACAAAAACTATTGAAACGTCGTAACACTGTTTTTAGGCTCTACATTGTGACCCAGCTATTCCGCAAAATACTATTTCGTATTTCACTTGTAAGCTGCAATTTTGTAAGCACTTTTCCACCTTTTTCACTCCAAGCAAAATATTCGTGTTCACGGTTATTGTTTGTTAAAGGTTAAAATGTTCGAGATAACGTACTCCAATGCTCCTACCATTATTTGAATCCTCGAGGCTCTCTGCAACAGATGCTATTCATCTCTTGGATTTCCAGTTTTTAGTCTTAACAGAGACCAAAGAAGTAAAGAAACGTAACTGTTGAAGTTCGTTAAGATGTTCCAGCCTACCAGTCTCCTGCTCCAATCGTTGTGCATACTTCCCATCCACTTACATATTTTCATGCCTATAATTGTCACATTGTGGTTGCCGCTGCAGGACTCAAATGGCGCTTCACCACACCTGCGGGTCACCTCAATCACTAAGCAGCCAGAGTTCTTAAATGTCACCTAATTTTTAGGAAAATTCGTGGGTTTTATCAGGCGAAGTTGCGTTTGAGAAATGTTGGTTTTGGTAATTTCTTCAGGCAATCGATGTTCACTCTAAAAGACATTTGGAAAACACTTGATAAATAGTTTAATAATTAAGTGCCATTGTCTCAAATCAAAAGTGTCCCTGAGCCTTTGAATTATGCAGGTGTCTGGTTACGTTTTTCTGCGGTTGCGATCCCAAGTGTTTGCAAAGAAATTCCTTTCCAAAAACCCCTGAACCATAATGAGATTTTGTCCTTTATTTGTATCTCTTATTTCCCTTCTCTTATCGGCCAGATTTGTCAGGCTACAAAACAGCATCAATTGGTGATGCAGACAGGAGTTCTCTCAACGTCGGAGCTGGTTGGCAAGTGGTGACTATTTCCACAGCCAGTGCAACTGTCAGTCGTCGCATCTTCTCTCCGTCAAGTCATCGTCGCGGTGCCTTGGTAACCCCTTCCGTCGTCAAGTTGTCATCGTCCCCTGCGGCCGCGGCGGTGGCGAGCGCCTCAACAGGTGCTGTGCGTTGTGTTGTCTGTCCCCAGCTGGGCTGTGGGAAGGCCTTCAGGGACACGGCGGCGATGCGGAAACACCTCCACACCCACGGACCCCGAGTGCACATTTGTGGGGAGTGTGGTAAAGCCTTCGTGGAGTCCAGCAAGCTAAAACGACATCAGCTGGTACACACCGGCGAGAAACCATTCCAGTGCACATTTGAGGTAGATTTGCAGTGCTCCTAACTCATGCAATGTGCTCCTAAATAAGGCCCATCCAATAACATAACTGCCCATATTTCAAAAAAGCCCTGATTATGCTGATTGTTCATTATTTTCTGTACTTGAGATCAATGAAGCAACCATGTAATATTTAAGCCTGGATGAAATTTCACGCAAGAATGGAAATTTCTACGTTCTAGACTTAGTGAATGACACGCTCCTGTCAGTTCAACAAGTGAGTTGTCAAATTACACATTGTGTGATAGTCTAGGAAACAATCAAGTTGTGTTTAATGCAAGTATGCATTGTTTAAAGCGACTCAAATGTTCAGCATAATATTTTGGTTCATCTAGTATGCGTTTCCCCAGCAACATGTGTTCAGGAGATTGCGTGACAGCAACATCCCCTGATACGTGTTCAAACAAATTATGAATAACTCAATTTTCAAAATTTGCAAAAGTATATCGGGATAGGTCAAAACGTGCTCAAACCCGAAGGTGGCTAGTTCTTAAACAAAACTTAATTTGAAGAGATATCGTTGACATTGTTTGGCTTTATCGGTTCCCTGGTGGTTCGATTCTTAAAAAGGTACACCATTTCCACTAGTTTCCTCGCTTTCGCTTCAGTGTTGCCTTTTAACAACGGCAGCTTTTTCTGCATGTTGCGTATTTTTAAAAGGCATAATTGTATTCACTTACTGCCACCAGATAATGGCTTCCGTTTGGTCATTCTGCCGAGCAACTTCGCTCCCCACTATGTCACTTTGAGCTAGACGAGTCCTGTGAACCTGTCAAAGTACCATCAACGCAAGCCCGCCTCTCCTACCATAGTCCAAGCGACCTGAGCAACTGTTATGTGTCAGGTCAAATTTTTTAAGGTGCCCTTGCATTCGTCTGTTGCTTATTCAAAACAAATGTGTGTGACACAGGTCCAAATTTGCATCAATCTCGAACTTGTGTAGTGAAAATGCGTGCAGTCGTCAAGCAGGCTTTGTTGAAAGTACACGCATTCAGAAAAAGTTCCTTAAATTGTTTTCTTGCCTGCTACCGCCTAATGCGGAGTATTTAAGTCACTTTTTTAATATACTGCGCCCACGCCATGTGAAAAATCTGCTCCCCCAAATTAAGACAAAATCTTTGGAAAACCTTTTGTGTAATTGCCATGTCTGTCATCTGCAAAAATGTCGAACTATCAAGGTAGCCATGACCACCTAAGTAGCTTAAACAAAAGCCCTTTTGGACATTTTCTATCCAAGTAATGCGGGACTACAAATCTAAGGTAAAAATTACACTTCCTGGGTGGTATTTTTACAAGGTTTCCAAGTAAACCACGATCGCTTTCCTCTCTATATTCGGTTTTGTTAGTTTTTTCCTAATGCAAAAATGGGCTTGTATTGAATCTTGGGTATATAATTCTATTTGTTGAAGCCGTCATGTATACAGTCACACATATTTATCTTTATCTCCTTTGCAATGTAACGGCCTTTTCGACAATCATGGATGTAGTGGCCTCACAGATTTCAAAATCGACACTACTTCAATTATGGGAGATGAATCTGTGTTGTTCCTTTGAAGGTTCAGAATTGGGACTCATTTGTTGGTGTTTGGCTGTCTGGTTGTAGGGTTGTGGTAAGCGCTTCTCGCTGGACTTTAATCTCCGGACGCACCTGCGGATCCACACTGGCGACCGGCCCTACCCCTGTCCGCAGCCCGGCTGCGCAAAACGCTTCGCTCAATCCACCAACCTGAAGTCGCACCTGGCCACGCACACCAAACTTCGCTCTGCTCATGTCGGCACTACCTCTCCCGCTCCCAGCACCGCGTACTTGCCCTCTCGGTACCAGTCCCACCGCATCTCCCAGCTCTCCTCCCCTCATCATCAGCGGCCCAAGCAGAACCCCGCGTTTCTCACTCAACAGAAACAACGCGGTGGTGGTTGTGGATTTTATCTGCCGCCCACGGCTACCGCAACGACGAATATTCCAGCATTTAATACGTACGTCGTTTTCTCGAAGCATCCTTTGCCTTGTCTTTTGATTAATCCCACTCATTCAAATGCGCAAGACCACCTATAATCTGGCAGTGTTGTTATCCAAATGAGATTAGCGGTTTCGTTCACTTTTAAAATCACCGCTGCTTCGAATCGATTTGAGGGGACTGTTAGGTTGACTTGCAGCAATTGCCGAATTCATTGGCGTGGTCGGCTAGCCCAGCGAGGCGTGCGGTCGCATCCTCTGGTGGTGGTGGTGGTGGTAACACACCAGGCGGTTGTGTGTGAGTGAGTCACGCCTTCGTTTCAGGTCGCTCTCTCATTTGCTTCACTTACAGCATGCAAGTGTTTGTTCAATGCAGTGTGCTTCCGAAAGGACCGTATCTCCACGGAGTCCTTATTTCCTTCATAGCTTCATCACTGTCACACTGTTTGCGATGGAAATTCATAGTCTCGGACATTGTTGCACGTTTTCAGCCCTACCATTTTGGCAATACTGTCGATATTTGCCATTTGAACTCCACCGCACAGTCGCATTTGCTTATGAACCGACCAGAGAATACTTCCACATGCGTTCGTTCGTCTTGCAAGGACAACTGACGCTGTGACTAAAGTCCACGAGTTAGGGAACGTAGCCTGATAATTCCTTCCATCTAACTTGAAGCGATTGTGGTCTGAGGATTTGAAAAAAAACTGCTATTTACCTATTTCGACCTGAATTGTAAAAGATCATGTGAAAACCAAGCACGTTTGTTTATTGTTCGGAGTTTTTCTTCTCGTGACGCTAACTTAAGGCCGCTGCCACAAGTAGTAGTAAGTACAAGTTTTATCGACAGACATGTGGTGTCATTTGCAAATTGCGCAGTTAACAACTATGCTCATTGTTAATGCCGCTAGTCCTCAAGTCATTGTTCTTGATTATCGAATCGGGTGCTTATTTGAGCGAGACTGCTTGGCTCAGCCGACCTCTTTATTTCTTGATTGTTCATTTCATCTAAGATTTGTAATTTTATTTAGTTAAAATGAGAAAAAAATTTCACATAAATTCACACAGGCCCGAATTCTTATGAGTAGATTTAACGATTTGTTTGAGATCGCCCAACCTCGCTTCTTAGTTTATCGTGAAACTGCCTGCGTCCCAAGCGCCCTCGATGTCCCCACGCGTCTCCGCGTCCTGGCAATGACCCGCCAACGGGGCTTATTTCTAACCGCCAAGAAGGGCAGTCAGTGCTCATTAGCCAGGCTTGTTATCGAAAGTGGTAGGCAAAGCCAACTGTCAGAAATCACTCCAATTTGACTTGACATCTGCAATTAGTATGACCATCCGACGTCTTTTGTGGTTTTGTTTTCCAGAGCGAGCTCAACTGCGTCTCCATGTGTGGCCGCGGCAGCGGCAGCAGCTTTTCGCAAGCTCTATGGTGATGAGGACTGTGGTTTCACCAGACCGCACCTTCTTTCCCCCATGAAAACAGCCTCGTCTCATCTCCTGGCCCTCCAAACCCCTCTTTCGGTCTCCTTATCTCCCTCTGTTTCCTCTCGTCCGCGAATCCTCCTCACGAACCGTGGTCGAAATCTTGCCTTCCAGCGCCCCACTCCACCACTCGCTGCGACAATTGCCCTGCAGTCCTCATCGTTGCCGGTAATAAAACGGGAGGACTTTGGTCCGCATTTCGATGATCCTCTCCTCTCCTCGGTGCTTCCTCCTCCACTCCACAATAAGTCGACACGAAAGCAAAATCTGTTCTCTTCACCGTCGGACAAAGTTCCTGCTGCCGCGGCTGCTACCGTTGTGGATGAAGGCGTAGATGTCTCCTCGGTTGTTGCGGTAGAAGAGGAAGTTGAGAATCCCTTCATTTACGGCATCCCTTTGCCCCCCTCTGCCGCACCAAGCCCTCACCGACGGGGGCGGGCGCAGAGGGGCACTAAAAAGAGTCTTGGAAACCCTCCACAAAAGACTCCCTCTTCGTCACCGTACTTCACCCGCTCCTCGGTGGCTGCCGGCAGACGACGAAGAGTCGCTTCCGGTCGTCTGAAAACCGTCACGCCTGCTCGTAGCCATCGCCGGCGGGTCTAGTCGATCGTGTGCAATAACTTGTGTTCCAATCCACATTTACGATTGTGCATTCGCGTGCAATATCCAACCTGTCGTCAATCACTTTCAAATTCTTTTTCTCGTTGTCTATGTGTAGTATGACTAACACATCCTAGCATGCATAATATTTCTGTTTTCTTAACCACCCGGCGTACTTCTCTCTTCTTGTGACTAATATACATACGAATCTAGTACTATTGCCGACGGAATATATAATATCTTCCGTGTTTTTCACTTTTGCCGTTGACATCTTCCTCAGAGCTTCGAACCTCATCACTTGAAGGTGTCGTGACTAGGTAGGGTTTCGTAAGCCGTTGGGAGTTGGACTCCAACTTAAGCAGGATAACAGGAAGGGCCAACAATGGTGGAGAGGAAGGCGTCAGCCCACAAATTTGCTCAGATGCCTGGCATTGGCCCTTCAACGTTGACCTTGAAGTGGAGGTTCGTTGGCTACCTTGGGAGTGAGCACTAACTCTTTTGATCATCGCAAGTGGTCCCCCTTGGCGACCGCTTGGAATTCTTCCGCCGATTGTTAGTCAGGCATTAATCTATCTCTTGATGATAGTAGGTTGGGCGACGATTTACCCTGGAACTCTCGATCTCCGTGTCGTGTTGCAGAACCAAGGAAGTCGCGAAAATAGCAGGGCTCACTACAGCTGTCGAAATAGAATTGGCGTGTTGAATGCAGTTGTGGTCATTGTTAGTCTTTATGCACTGATCAGCCTCGGAATATTGTTCGTTTTTGTTCAACAGAACTACTTCAAATGTGGGTGGAAATAGGGTATATCGACGTCTTAAGCTCCAATCGGGTTTTCGTCGCAGAGACCATTTTCAACAGTCGTTTGTCAAAACAGTCATAAAATGATCTAGAACATTCGGTGGAACTTTGTCGGAGCGCGTTATAATCCATAATCATACAACGAACATTTGTAATATGTTACTGGGCTGTGGGTATTACTGCCGTTAGACAGTTGATCCGAAAGAGATGATGAAGGCGCCAATATGGATACTAGAACAATATCGGGGTAAAGAGTTAATTGATGTTGCTGGCCTATCCGAACTAAAGTACCCTGAGATAAATCAGAGGACCGAGGCTCAACTGTTGGGTGGGCCGCTGGGTTATGCGTCATCGGTTGTGGCTGTGAATGCGTATTTATAGGTCGTAAGGGTGAGTGACTCATTGCTGTGTTAACGTAGAGGATTTGCAGTCTTTTGGCATGCAAGGATAGACATTCGGGTTCATCGAAGTGGACACAGAGTTACGGCTAAAGGACTCAGCAGCGAGTGCGTGGGGGGATTTTAGGGACGCGTGGACTTGGGAAAGTTCATAATGCTAATTGGAGGTCTCCACCTGATCTGCGGACCGCAAAATGACAAAGCAGGATAATCCGAAAGTGCCCTTGTATGCCTGAACACATTGAAGCATAATTTCAAGCCGGGTCATCAACATAGCCGTTTTAAAAGCATCAGCAACTCAAAGGGTGGCATATTTAAGTACATATCTGGAAGCACAATGCAGTCAAAGTATGTATACATAATTCTGATCCGAAGTCTTGGAGCATCACCAGCTCATGCTTTGTGCGCTAAACAATGAACCATCGCTATTTGATGCTCTTTCATGTTGATTAATCACGGCTCTCATCCTTAGCGGAATGATCCAGCAAACCCGTTCTTCGTACACGCTGAGCGGTCGGTGCTGAGACTGGTGTAGTCGTGCAAGCCAAGAAAACTTGAAAAAAGAGTGTGATTGGTTGGTTATGCACCTAGTTTTATAACTGGCCTTTTTTGTCTCAGAAAAAAGTGTTTCTAGTGTAGCTAGAGTCCTTAGAGTATTTAGCGACACGCACAAAGTCGGAGTTGAGAGTAGTATTGGCACTTTGTCAGCTTCATTCCCTGCTTCATTACCGCCACCACCCTTCTGGCTAATGTGGTTAGTGTAATACCTAAAACGGAGGCCAGTGGAGGTAAACGCTGGACAACACGTGTGGGCCCTCGAACCAACAACAAACACGAAGGGCGTGTAGTGAATTGTGTTGATTCACGTCCAATAACTCAGTCGTCGCAGCTTCCAGCACACGTTTCCCCCTTTTCACGGCGTGCCCGTCAGTCACTGGGACGGGCTGCTCATTCACCCCTCTGTATGTACCACCACCATCAAAACCCCCCCATCCATGTACCATTCAGACGTTTGTACTTTTACCAGTCCACTCAACTGCACTGAGCGGCTGTGCCTCGTCCTCTCTGGTCTCCCTCATCGTCGTGGGCACTCAGGGTAGCGAAATCGGCCTAGATTGACGCAGTGGCCCCGGCGTGGTTCAAGACTACATGCCGGGGCCCTCAACAGATGCTTCAACTTTACGGTGTTTATTTATGATGTATACTATTATATCCACTAAATACACGCTGGACTAGACCGAAATGGGGTCACTAGCCGGACTCTGCTCTTGGTAAAACAGAGTAGCCAGGTGCTCACATTCGATGGTTTCCTCTAACACAATGTCGTCCATCAACCATATTCTGATAACTTGCACACACCCTTTGCCAAATTATGCAGAGCATGCAGCGTTTGTTGTCTCACAAGCATTCGAATTCTCTATTCATCCGTGCTTCTCAATGACCACGCTGATACAACATTTGAGGGCTAAAAGGACATTGTGTGTGTACTTCAAATCAATTTTGGGATTTCGCGCTTCATGTGAAATTTTAATTGACGTCCACGACTACCCCAATGCCTAGGATGTTTATATCTGATGACCAAAAAGCCAAAATGGGATTTACTCAAATGAGTCGGCAGAACTGAAATTTGACTTTCTGACTCCCGATTCAAAACCGGTAATGCTTGTGATATCCTTGTTTACATAATATCACACTACGTAGCCTCCTCATGTAAGTAGATAAGCCTAAGTGTCCTCATCGTCTTGTCTTGTCTTGTCTTCGTGAGCTGTCTCGTGGCACAACAAAGCTGTGTTACTTCCTTTGGAACTGGTATTGCGGGATCCAACCATCAGCAGGTGCTGTAGCAAAGTTCACTTCACCGAGAGACTTGAATCAGAGCATTGCAGTGGAGGTGACATTTCGCAGGATTCTACAGATGACGAAACGGCAGCAAGCAGGAGCACACCCGTATTTATTCACCAAATGACCATATTTTATTGTATAGAGGTCAAATGTGAAAGGTGCGGTTTAAGTGGAAATAAACAATCGGCATGTGGGTGCTATTCTGCGTGAGGTTTGGAGAGTAGGCGTTCTAAATTTGGACGCATTAGTCAGTCGTGCAAAGAATTGTGGGAGTGGGACAACTAACCGCCCAGTTAACACCTCAGTGACCAAATGAGGACATGGGGATGGGGTACGCTAGGGTTCCACGCAGGCACTAATATTTGTCAGTCTTGACCAATTTCCTAAAACAGGAGCCGTGGTAGGTAACAAAACAGCAGCGCGCTTACGAACTCTACGGTAGAACAAATGAGTTGTGTTAAGCGGCTGAAACTGGTAATGGATCGGAGTTGACGTTACATTCACCTCCTTGAGTTCAATAAGATGTCTTCTAGCGAGGACTTTTTCCAAACCAATTTGAACCACCCACAATCACGAACCCCACAGATATTTTAACTATCTGAAAACTATGGCCTATTTGTGAGATGGGAGGTGCTCCACCTTTTCTGGTCAGACATAGCGGTAATGTTTCTTTGTCTGCTACATTTGTGTGTTTATAGGACTCATCTAACAAAACGTCGCCTTGGGTGTTTGCAAACACCTAAAATATGCGACGTGCTTCGAGGCACCACAGTTTCAAGGGCTTTTTGAAGCAAATCCTCCATGAACTCGATGAAGTGCTTAGTTGGATTCAACAAAGCCTGTCCGATGGGGTTTTGTGGGTTCAAGATTTTGTTCAATTTTGGTCAAATTCCCTAAATCATAAGTGTTTGTGTTGTTTTCTGAATCTAACATCCTGTTTGTGTAAACCTACGCAGTGGTACTGAACATATGGTTTTTTCCAGCAGGCAATTGAAGCTTTTAGGCTTGTCACAAGTATTTCGCTCTGTGCTTACATGGCTTTTTTGCTATTCTGGCTGAAATTACAATAGCTGACTTATGCCTTCTGTCTGTGACTTTTCGACCTACTATGACGATGCATCAAAGGCTATTAAACTCCCTGCAAGATATTGGGGAATCCAGTTGTCTAGTAAACGAGTACATGCATCACCCCCACAGTCAGTTTGATTTTTCAATTTGGGAAAAAAATAAATGCCGATTTGTGCATCTGTAGAGTAAATGCTACTGTACCAGACGTGGATCATACCAGGACTTAAATTTACGACACCTGCTAGTACGTGCATACATTGGCACCTCAACCGACCTCGTCGCGATTACTATGAATCATTGCACACGTACTCGCAGTTTTCAGTCAATCAACCAGATTTGCGAACCGGAAACCGCGTCAACCTGACACTTTGCCAATTAGTTTGAAATCAAAACGTGAAACATGACATCTTCCCCTTAATGAGGGCGTCCATTCATCGGCCGATAACCAGGACTTACGGATATAAGTTGTCATTTGCAGTTATACATTTTGCTAAAAGTGATTAATGGTTCATTTTAGCAGACTAATCTCGTCACTCGTACTATTTTAAAAGTCTTGAAGCTTGTTGTGCATCATTTAGCCGACTGAAATCACACAATTTGCACCGCGCAGCGCACTTTACTTGATTGACTAAGCATTAAGCACCAGCCTTTAGGATAAAAAATACCCATGGCTTGAATCGAGAAACACGGGATTTTGGAGTTCAGTTAGCATTTACTGATTCAGCAAATGATTTCCGCGATTTATTAAGTCGTTCTAAAAAAAATCAAGTTGTGAAGGTAGCTTTCAGAGGATGAATTTTCTTCGACCACCTACGCAAGTTAGCTTCGTTACATTAAGACAACCAGCAAATATGGCAGATCTTATGTAGGAAGTGACAAGGCCCATTCCCGCTTTAGAGGTTAAAAAGTGGACAAAAGACGATTAATCATCATTGGTTTTCTGACTTGATTGAAACTGGTAAAAACGTGATAATTGACGCCCACAAGTGCACTACTGACAGGAGACTTCGGGAATGGAACGCACCACCGTCTACCTACTAGAATTGCCTTGCAGACTCGACCATGACTGATGAGAACGCGCAGCGGAGTTGCCACACTTATAGAAATCCGGATCGTCATGGCGCTGACACACAAAAAAATAAAACTGCGCAGACCAGAGGCCAGGATGCCCTGTTAAGTAGTCGAGCACACGGGATGTCCATTCACAATAGGAAGAGGCCGTTGCGATTGCAAAATGCACCGTTTATGCAAAACAGACGGCTACTGGGATGTGCGGCGTAAGGCGCACGACGAGTGCAGTTTCGCTCTCGCTGAACACGAGGCTTACGTGCGCACGCGCCCGCGCGCGCACGCTGCGTTATCGACCGGTCCAGCGCGCAGCCGGTCCCGCCAGCTGTCTTGACGTTGCCGCGGAGCGCGCTTCGCACACGCTAGTCTGCGCGGCCACGAGCAGAAGACACGCCAAAATCCCAAACGCAGTGTGTGTGTGTGTGTGTGTTTGTGTGTACGAATTGAACTCGACTCCTACTTGGCATTCCACAAATTGGCGAACATAATACAAGGGATTTCTACCTGTAGTAATCAACACACCACTGTTTGAAACCACATGAAATGTCCAAGAAATGCTCTCCTGAGAAGTGAACGAACACTTCAACCTTCTTGGAATGCAAAAATGTCTATGGGGAAAGCCCTCCTGTGGACACAGAAGCACTTTTGCAGTATTCCATCGTTTTTTCCCACAGTTAGTTTATTATCAGAGCAAAAGAAACCTTAGGCTAGCCGGAACAGTAAATTGAGCATTTATGAAAGGCCAAACGATAACTCCCTTGGAGCCGCATACATTTAGCTGCCTGGTTCGTACTTCCAAAAGTCAAGTGATTCAACTGGGACATTTCGGCACACCGTGCGCGTCGATAGTAGCTGGGGTAGGGGGCCGAAAGTGCATTAAAATGTAGCAAGGGGAAGTGATGTATTCTCATGCTCACGTTAATGACCGTGTTGGCCTTGCACTACGTTTATTGCCACATTAGTCGGTTGGGCGGAGTCGGCTGGGATGTCAGCGTCAGGATCACGTGACAACCTCAAAACGGTAAGCGAAGTTTGAAATGCCATTTCGCTGATAACGCTTATTTCAAAATGACAATGCAGGATTACCCGAAAATGTCCTTGTATGCCTGAACACATTGAAGCATAAATTCAAGCCGAGTCCTCAACATAGCCGTTTTAACAGCATCAGCAACTCAAAGGGTGGCATATTCAAGTGCATATCTGGAAGCACAATGCAGTCAAAGTATGTATACATAATTCTGATCCGAAGTCTTGGAGCGCCACCAGCACGTGCCTTGTGTGATGATTACTTTCAGCCTGAACAATGAACCATCGCTGTTTGATGCTCCTTCACGTTAAGCCACTTTATTATTATCATCCAAAAGAGCGAGCATACTTTGGCAGATTTGAAATGGAAGTCAGCTTGCGGGTTTGAATGTATCCTAGGCCCGCAGATGAGTACAGAAGAACGCGCCAGTCCTGATGCACTCCTGCATGTGGCCCACAGCACCAAGTTGGAGCCGTCTTAATTGTAGGAAAGCGCAGAGGGAATCAGAAAGGGACAAATTGCAAGCCGTCTCACAATATAAGCCGGTAGAGGTTGGAAACACCGTATATTTATCGGCAATAAGTTGCTACTAAAGTCATGAATGAAGGTGTTTAGTCTTGGGCCGCAGTTTGCAACGTCGAGACTTTGGCTGACTTGCTGTCTGCAGCTACCAGACACACGCAAGACTGTTCGGCATAGTGGGAGTTATTCGAATTGATAACTTGCCAAGGAGACAATCCGAGGTCAAGATAGATCGACAGTTGCTATGGCCGTTTTAGGCAATTTCTGACACGAAATGCGAACCACTGTGGTTAGAGTGACCTAAAAATCTCAACACCCGGCCATGCTTCACTAGATCATAACGATAGCGTCAGTAACAATAACGCCACTCGTTAACGCGAAATGCGGTTATCAGAGTGGCAAAATTCAGCGTTTGAAAAAAAATACGCCTGGAACTTGTGCTAACAGCACCGAAATACAGAACTGGTTTGAATCGCAATAGATGTACTGTCAAACAGATTGTAACAGATGTCAGTGTCAGAAGAGCCTGAAAAACTCACGTACCTAGAACACACTGACACGAATTCTTTTTCCTCGTCAGGAAGAGGGTGGTCCGAGGACCTCAAAACCATGCTTGACAGTTATTTTTACTGATTTTTAACTAGTAGCCAAATTATTTTCGCCACAAAACCATGATATCATCCTTTGAAAAGGGTTTCAGGGAGAGTACATGAACGATGTAACCAATAAAAATGTCAACTGCAGATACCGATAAAATACCTTTTATTATGCTCTTAAAAAGGCTTCCCATCAAATTGACTTTGTGGCTTAGAAGCGAACCTTCGCGTCTCCTGACCGTGCAAAAATGTGCTACAAGGTTAACGCATTGGCCCCGGCGTGGTTCAAGATAACATGCCGGGGCCCTCAACAAGGTCAGTTAAATATTTCGGTGTGACGGGCAAATGACGGATCTAGTCCCTACGGGATCAAAGTGATTGCAAAGAATATAGGTTATTGTGGTAAAAGTAGAATTCATTTCAATTAACAGCAAGCAATCGGCTTTTAACTTATGGCCTGGACAGAAATTCATCCAAGTAAATTTTTGTGCTACTTTTAATTCCGCATGTTTCGGTTAGATGTCACTGTTAGTAGCTAATTAGGACGAGCAATAGCTTAAAACATTTGCACCACAAAAGCGCTTATCAAATGTGACCATCATCGAGGGGTCCAAGCAAAGCTTGGTGGATTATCGAGGAGGTCTGTTTCGGTTTAACGCAAATCGAAACTATTTAAAATTTTTAATAGTGATACAAGGGATGGAAATGGCAAATAAATGCATTAATCCTATCGTAATAATTTCTGCCTTCCCAAAAACAACCCAAATAATGAATGAACAGTGTAGGAGCCATCAACTGCATACGGGTGAAATGAATGCAGTGAATGGTATCGATTTGCGTCCATTAACTGGGTTGCTGCATTCTTCGACGTTCTGACCCCATTTTCAAGCCGTTACTAAGGCCTCCGCGAAACCGTCTGTGCTTGCACCAACCACCCCCTCTTGCGCTACCCACTTCATTCATCCCTACGTTCAGCCACTTGCACGTCAACAGGTTCACCTATGATGCATCAGACGCGTTTTTATGCGCTGTGGCGCGATAACTCAACTCGGTTAAGTTATCTGGTAAAACGGTCATGTCTGCCATCTCTGGTCTTCTACTCGTCGTCTCGGGCATGAGTGGCGTATATGGGCTGGATTAAAATCAGTGGCCTCATGTGGTACAAGGCCCACAACACAAGCAATATGCACTGAACATATGCCCTTATAGCCTTTAGAAGTTCCAATTCTATCTAGAACTTCCCAGGATCTCTTCGAAAGATGATTATTAAAAAAAGCTTCACGTTTCCGTACGAACTCAAAGAGCCTTGTGTAGTTTACCATCAGGAGACGTAATCTGATTAGACTTAATTTATTTGCCATTGTAAACCCCAAAATTAATTGCGATCACGTTTGGTCTGGGCTGCTCCGTGGTATCTGCAGCGACGATACTGCCAGTTTGGGAAACCGACCCATTTATCAATTAGTCACAATTCGAATTTTGTCCAAAAAGTGTGTGTGCGTTGCAGGTTTTTTTCTTTTAAAAGAAAATCAAGATGTGTTCTGAAAGGTGGATAGCCTCAATATTCCACACATTTACTGATTTCGGTTTAATGAAACTGCAGTTTCGGAGAACCGGAAAGTGGTTTGAGCCGTCCTACTTGCATTCCCGACTCAAATTTACCCAGACAGTGCAACTGTTTTGCTGCGTCTAAAAACCAGTGGGCTCGATTTATCTCCCCACTCAACGGCGCGCCTACAAAAACTGCCACAGGATGCGCTTCCTCCGTGAGTGAATGCAGGAGTTTCCCATTAGAAATGAAAGGCGTGAGCTTAGTGCCCGACATGTTTAAAATCAAATTTTCACAGACTTAACAAGCAGAGTTTAACTTTGTTGACGGTTACTCTGCAAGATTTATGTAAGGATTGGCTCCTGAAAAAGCGCCGGATAATTAGCAATCACGGCTTCGGGCCCAAATCCTTTTAAGTACACTACATTTTTGAAGATACGAAACTCACCGAATGCATTTTGACCAACACCGAAAAAACTTGTTAGTCGCGTACTTTCGACTCTCAACGGGCACTCCAGTGAGTCGGTAGAAAGTTAACACTCCAATGATTTACGTTGGAGAGTACTTTGAGCCTCCTCGGAAATCAGTCTTGAATGCAGAAGACAACAGACAAAATCCAATTCGTAAAAACGCACACACTGACTATGAGCTGAGTAAACTTCTTAAAACAAAAAATGGAGAAAAATTGGTCTAGAAGGGGACAATCTACCGCTTGTTTCTGTCATCGAGGTATGAGAGTGACAGAATAATCTCTAGATGACATCGCATCCTGTGTGTGTAAGGCTTCTGGAAATCCCTCACTAGTTTTCAAAGGTTTTTCTCGAAGTTTTGATACATTTTCCACCTCATTTGCACTCCATTTAGCTTCGATGGTGGGTTTTAGATGTTGTACGATTATTATTATTATTATCATCACTATTATTATTATTATTATCATTATTATATTACTGTTGTTGTCGTTGTTATCGTTGTTGGTAATATTATTTAAGAGGAGTAAATCATTGGATTTTCAAAAACACTGACTGTTTACATGTTACGAAATCACACGATTTAATATCAGTTTGTAAACCACACGTAATAGACTAGAGTGGTTTTAGTATGCGGAGACACCTGTTGTAGTGGATAAAAAATACCTGGCCTTTTTTAACACCGGTACTTATTTAAATCAAGTTTGAAAAATCGGAAAGGTGAGGTAAGCGGATCAGGTCTAGTAGGCGTTAAATCGGGCAAGAGACGTAAGGAGGTCTTAACAATGGAAAATGTGGCTTCATGAAGTCAGAAAAAGACAAGGAAAAATCCGTGATTTATCAAGGAGAAAAAAATAGTAAAAAATACGCACTTCTCAGTTGGAAGTCTTTCCCGACCACCTCTGCCAAGGCAAACTCGGTAGGTTTGTGGAAAGTAAAGGTGCCCAACTACACCTATTTTAAAATATCAAGTAACGTTAAATACAAATAATGGTAGGGCTAAAACTGACTCAAATGTACGACCTGCTGGTCGAATTCACGGAGAGTTCGATTATTTCATTACCTTTATTGGCAGAGATGTTTTGTTTAAAATACAGACTTGGGAGCAGTTCGGAATGGGCGATGCGTAACATCAACTGCCACTTGTTACGCAAGTGAAAGGTTCCGTTAGGTGTTAGGGAATGATTTGTGCGTGTGGGACCCAGCATAGAGCAAGGGAAGGGCGGAATTGTGAGTAGTGACCTGACACATAGGTTTTCTGACACGGTCAACATCAACTAGTTGAAGGAAAACGAGTCTGTCAGTCAGTTTTAGGGTGGTTAGGGGTGCAGTTAGACTAATTACTACCAAGTACCCCCATCTAGGGTAAATTACTGTAAAACTGACCATTAACCTTGCAATGATTGTCATTTGTGTTGAAAAAAATGCCACACACTTCCATTTCCAACTTCGGCTGCCAGTGATCTTTTATCAGACTTGCCAAATTTTTAACTTTTAAATGCATTCCTTACATTCCATAACTTAACTGCGGCTAGCAAGAACGAAGGTCCTTGTAACCAGTTTGTTAACCATTGGAAACCTGCAAACGTACTTAAAAATGCACGAATTTTGTTTTACACAAGTGAAGTTTAATGCTAATGATTCTAAAATTAAGAACATGCGCACCTGAATAAATGTGCAAACTAATATTTTCAAATTAACCTTGCAGATTTACAGTGACATGACTTAACAGCGAGGTCTAAACATGATTGGCCATACAAGCAGTCGGGAAAACTTTACGGTCAGCGGTGGCATAATGCATTAATTCAAATGTCATGAATTATTCATCCAATACTTTTGCCTCTTACGGATGATGGATCGCGAAACTGTCTCCAGTTGATTTATCTAAGCGATGTCTTGCTTACAGGTGCTGCGAAAGTTTCGTATGAGGAGGCAATAAATCTAGATTACTTTTGTGACGCTGCCTGTACACTTGGATACTGGTTTGCTGTCAACTCGGAGATTTCCAAATGACTCAAGAAAAAGTCAGATTTTGGTGTGCAGCGTTGCTTGTTGGAAGGTAGCTAACTCGAGTATTGTAGTGACCAGCATTTGCCATCAAGTGTTAACTGAAGGTGATGTGGCAAGCAGCAAACCAGCACAGTCAGCAGGCGCGAAAGCACGCCCGAACACGATTCAATCGATTTTCGTGAATGCACTTCACGCAACTGCGTGCTTTCAGAGATCGATACTTAGCAAAGCCATATAAATGCACTTGTTATTCTGCACAAACACACAAGCAATATCTACTTGAATTGTCTGTCGTGACGCGAATAAACAGTCGTGTTCTCTATTGGCTCTTTTGTCT